AATCCCGAAAATGAGTAATTTATTAATAAAAAATAGGAAAAATATGAAAAAAATATATAAAATTTACGCCGAAAATTCACAAATAAATAGAGTAACCTTAAATTCAACAATTTTTTTTATTTTTTTTTTGGTAAACTCCGAAAATGAGTAATTGATTAATAGAAAATAGGAAAAATATGGAAAAAAATATAAAATTAAAAAAATAAATTATTTATTAATCAATTACTCATTTTCGGGATTTACCGGAAAAAAAAATTAAAAAAATTGTTGAAATTGTTGAATTTAAGGTTACTCTATTTATTTGTGAATTGTTGGCGTAAATTTTATATTTGTTTTCAGATTTTTCCTATTTTTTATTAATAAATTACTCATTTTTGTGATTAGCCGAAAAAAATAAAAATTAAAAAAAAATTGTTGAAATTGTTGAATTTAAGGTTACTCTATTTATTTGTGAATTTTTGGGGTTAATTTTATATTTTTCTTATTTTTATTAATCAATTACTCATTTTCGGGATTTACCGAAAAAATTAAAAAATTGTTGAAATTGTTGAATTTAAGGTTACAATATTTATTTGTGAATTTTTGGGGTTAATTTTATATTTTTCTTATTTTTATTAATCAATTACTCATTTTCGGGATTTACCGAAAAAATAAAATTTAACAAAATTGTTGAAAACGGGTCTGGTAGTTTATTTAAATGGGGGGTTGATTTATAGGGCGGGTTAGGTGGTTATGGGTTCGAATTTTTTAGGGGTATAATTGATCCCTTTCCATTTTCATATAAATGTCATGTGGTAAAGTCAAAATGACATGGCAATTTCATGTGGCATTTAAAGAAATGAAAAATGAGCTGGATATGTCCAGGTAGTCCAGCAAACCGACTAACGCCCATAAGGGAATATCTAGACAAAAAGTTGGACGGCGAGGGCACGAGTGAGCCAAACTTTAAACGGAGAGTATATCTAGACCTTTTCGAATAGTTTAGGGGCATATTTGACCCTTTACCCTTATATATATATAAATGTGTCATTTAATTTAACTCATCTGATATTTATACCTTTTAATTTTAAGTATGTACAAGTAGATACATATATTTGTACAAAATTAAATAACTAAGCACATGCACCCTATGTGGATAAATCAATTTGAATTGCCACAAACGTGTGTGTCTAATTGTACATACTCAAGATTGAAAAATATAAATATCAATTAAAATCAAGTTAGTTTACATATTTATATATTATTTCAAAATCTTTAAATTGTGGTTTAAAGTTGAGAATTTACAGAAGAAAACAAGGGCATTTATTAAATAATTGTCTCATAATTGAGGAAAATTTCTAGGAAAAATTGTATGAAATAGTAAACTATTAATTTAAATTAAATGTTATAGGTATAGTTTATTTTATTTGTAATTCGCAGCAAACATCTCATGTTTTTGCCATCTGATCCGATACACAATTAGTCATTTTTGGTATACAATTAGTCATTTCATACATTTCGGTATAAAATGTATAAAATGCATTTGTGTTGGTATAAAGCGAGAGAAAAATGTATATACAAATACAAATACATATATCTTCGTCCTATACACTTATAATTATACAAATACAGATTTTATTATACAAATTACAATGTATAAATGAATTTATACAAAACTGAACAATTTGTATAAAAATGGATGTATCTAGCGAATTATACAAATCAAAAGCTCCATAGCAAACATAAAATTTGCTATGGAGCGCAATTATGCAAACTATATTTTTGCTATATGTGAAAGTTGTTCAAATTTCTAAGTACATTTGCAGTGACAATTCTCGGCCCAGAATGCCTTATTAAGCACCAAGCCTGCATTTTTTCAATACAATTATGTAACTTTGTGGGGAAAAAAGTTTAAATGTAAAACGTTTAAATTATTTTGAAAAATATAAATTAAGCGCTACAACTTTTATTTATTTTAGAAAGTTCAAAAATGGTGGACTATTTCTTAATACGAAAATAAATCCAAATTAGGGCACCTAGTTTTGGAATAGTAGGAGTGATGTAATTGTCACTAAAGT